ATCATAGTATCTACTTTCAGAATTAAAGTAAATTAAAAACAAGAAAATAAATTAAAATCCTACCAATAAAATTTACTTCTGTGAATCAAGTATTCAAGAAAGTCAAAGTAGTCCATGGAGTGTGAAGCGCTCAGACATGTATTTCAAAAGCAATAGAAAGATCCCTCTGCTGGTGAATATCATTTTTTCTAGGTCAGCACTCAGCAGGACACTCTGCAAATGGGTATTTTTATCAAGGATTTTAACTGCCTGGATGCATAGCTGTCTTTTCAGCTTGAAACATCAGTGGAGAGACAATGAAGTAAACAGAGAAGCAGATGGCACTGCAGCAAACTTGGGTGAGATGGTTTCGGGCATAACAGTAACACTAATACATACATACCTGCCAGGAGTCCTATGAGAAGCATTACAACCCATCCTGACCAGGCATCCAGCAAACTCTTGATGAACTCCCATATGGATTCTTTACTTTTGCTTGTAATCTGAAATTAAACATATCTATAGACATGTTGCTAATTCAGGTTGACTAAATTTTAGTGTCTAATATTTAAACCAAAAAAGATTTAAGCTCCCAGAAGGTGTACACCATTTCTCTACTTCCCCTCGTCTCCATGTCTCCAGTATTGTTTAGAGATGCTCTACTGATTAAGTTACTGCAAGTCCTTTCATATTCACAAATTGAAGACATACCACCTCCATATTTTTTGAAGCCCTCCTCAAGTCATACAACAAGGTAGGAAGCAGTAACTTTGGAAAACTGCTTGGTTTCCCCCCCACAAGGTTGGCTGTAACCCACAGGGTGTAGTGCATGGAAACCAGCCACCACTACCTTTCTGTGGCGGTCAGTGTCGCGTGATTTCTCCCGCAGCCAGTCGATGGTGTGGAAATCTTCATAAGTCCCAACATCAGGGAAAGGCTCATCCAGAAAATCCATCAGGTTGCCAGAACCATTCATGTCTCCTGCATTGACCATATTAGGGTCTGTATATAGAGGAAGAACATGTACATCAATAAATTCATGCAGCTTTGCCAGAGATTTCAGAATCAAGTTTTCCAAAATACACCCACAAACCACAGTCAAGAGAGCACAAGTCAGCAGTCCTGGTGGGCACTTACTGAAATGTATGCATTGCCTCTAGAAAAAGTATTTTGCTGAAGGCTCCTTCAACAGCTCATCAAGTGCTAAAAAGCACACACAAAAAGCACAGTGTCGAAGTGCAGAAATACCAGCTCTCCTGAAAACAGAGCCCCAAAACCTGGGATATTTCTGGACTACTTCTGCAGTGATACATCCTGGTCATGTGTCAGAAGAAGTTCCCTGCCTGCAGGAAGATCATTGAGTAGGCAAGTTCACCAGCTCAGAAAACAAATGATAATGTATGAGAATTTATTATTCATCATAAACCACAGATTTTTCGTGTCACCATTAGTCATAACTCTGCAGTGTTGTCTGGTTTTGCATGCTCAGAGCTCCCTGCATTGATCTGCTTTCCTTCCACTGCTCAGAGGCAAAGCTCAGTATCACAATATGTCTACTTTACATCAGGTCTAGAAATGCAGCATCTTCTGCAAGTTTGTTTCCCAAGGGCTTGGGGTGGAACTATTCTTAGGAGGACCTGAGGAGATACCTTCTGTCCCATGACAAATTCTGCAAATTTGCTTTTAAGAAAGCAGGGGGAGAAAGAGTTGCCACATATCCTGCTAGAGCAGAAGAGGAAATACAAAGGTACCTATCCCCAAATTATAACAAGCAGAGGCAGCAAATTACCAGAGGCATTTGATAACTAAAAAGATCAAAGTAGGCTATGAAATAACACGCAGCCTAGACTGTGGTGCACAGCTTAAGTGGACAATTTCAGCCCCGAAATTTTTGGAGACAAGCTCTCTGGGTTTATACACTACAGATATGAAAGTAGAGAAACAACCCTGCCCATTGCTGTACCATGTTCACACAATCTACATAAGCAAAGCACGAAAAAGTTAACTTATAATCATCGTAACTCTCTTTCCCACAAGAGCTCAGCAACATCTGGGTAGGTGCAAAAATAACTGTTATCTCCTTTAAAGGTCAGGTCACAAAGTACTCACAAATATTACAATGTCCTGGAATGGCTGACATCATTCCCATTGAAAGGAGCCTTTAGTAGCATGAGAATCCATTAAATGAAACACTTTAGGCACACAGGGTTGGATTCAGCCAACTTAAAACTTCAGCCATCTGAAAGTTTGGTGTCTGGAATTTAAGAACCACCTAGGCTGCCTCTAGGCAGAGAAAAGTTGTGTGTGAGGGTCTGTAGCAGGAGAGTGCTCTCTCCTTTAAGGGCATCTGATCAAGGACCTTTTCCAATGCAGCAAGGGATAAGGAGAAAAAGGGGAAGCAAAGAACAAGAGCATACAAGGACACAAGCAAATGACAAGGAAAGGGGTGATGGAACCAGACCTGGTCATTCACACTCACTGGTGAGGGCACGTGGGAGTGTAAGAACATCTGTTTCAGCAAGGTTGCCTGTCTGAGGAGCTTGTTAATTGGGAAACTATGAGAAAAAGTGGAAAACCAGAAACAAAATATACAAAGACGCAGACCTGACAAAGCAAACATGGAGACAATGTCAAGAAGCAAGCCTCACCACTCACACTAATTGAAGGGCTATTAATGGTGTGTGTACACCTCTGGGATATGTGCTCAGCTTCACAACTGGTTAAGCCTGCAGAGGGTGAAGCAGCAGTCCCATCCTTCAGCCTGGGGCAAAGACTCAGGTCCCCAAGTTGGGCTCCAGCAGATGGGCAAGAGGGTCCTGGGCTTGGACATCTGGAGGATGTGGCCATGCATTTCTACATCACTTAACAAAGTGTTGCTCTAAAGACTGGTTAATCCTAGCCATCCTAAAATAGGTGCCTGGAACACTGGGTCTTCCAGAGAGTACCTACGATTTGTAAACTGAAATGGTAAACTTAAAAAGAACAGCTAGCATAGGGTTACAAGGAAGGGTTAAAAAAAGAAAAAAGAAAAAAAAAAAAAACAACAAAAAAAACCACAAAAGAATGGAGAGAGAGAGACAGAGTTCAGGGGTTTTACAGAACTGATCCTGCAGTGCCTGTAGCTCTGCAACAGATACAAGATGACTTTGGCCGGTCACTGATGAGGCTAGCGTGGTACTAACAACTGCTACCACTTCCCTCCATCATGTGTGGAAATGGGGATTTCATGATTATGGTATTTGGATCTTTCAGTCTGTGAGGAAATTTCCCAATTTTGTAACTGCAGCAGGCAAAAATGCAGCAGACAAGCTTTTAATCAACTGTCCATACACCCTGCTGCTCTGCTTGGCCCCCTTTATTTACTGCCTTTTCTATCCTCTCTCCCTCCATTTTCAACTGTTTTACTTTAATCCTCTCCATTTAACTTTTTTTCCCAGTGGTGACTTTAGGGATATAACAAGCTTGAATACTCAGCTTTATCAGTGTCTGCTCTTTGCACTCCACTGCGTAGAACTTTTTGGATGACACAAACAATGCACAAGCAGCTGAGAAAAGCATTATCTTACAGGCAACCAGCAGGTCACCATTATAATTCTATAAAAGTACTTTTAATTTAGGAAATCAAGTAATCTCCAAGCACTGTGGTCTGTTTGCCTGAAAGAGGATCAAGCAAGGGAATCACATCCCAGGGAAGGAAACAAAATGCAGAGCAGGTGTCCCACAAAGTACTGCTGTGCTCAAACAAGCTGCCACAGGACTGAGGCGATTTAAAAAGCAGCAGTTAAGAGCAGTGACAACTAGGAACAGCAGTGCTTCACCAAGCAGATGAGAGCATGCTCCTGCGTTTGCTAAGGGAAACCAGAGTCTGAAGGTGGGATGCTGTGGCTGACACCAGGGAGCTGAAGTTGCAGGAGGACCTTGTAATAGTTCAGTGTCTTGTAAACCATGACCAAAGACCGGAATGGGAAGCTGAACTGAGGTGAAAGGATTAGACCGTGCTATTATTTTGTAACACTGTAATCTTTTGCAGATGATTTATATCTACTTCCCACACAATGAAGAAGGACCTGTAAAGAACAAGCAGTTCAGACTGCTTGCCTGCATGAGGCAGCCTGCCCTGCTACATAAAGAAACTTCTGTGAACTCTTGTGCTGAAAGTGTTGGCAAGTTTTCCTTAATGCTACAGGAAAACTACCAAACATGCTAGTTACAACACATAAAAAATAGCTTTTTAAGTGTGTTGTCAATGCCCAGCACATGACAGCATTGTGATGGATAATACCAGGCTAGACCACAACTATGTAAGACAATTACAGTTGCCTGAATCCACCCCAAAAATACGTGCTACACAACACGTCCAGGGAGAGAAAAATGTGCCACAAACCACAGGGCCATGGAAGACTAAGTAAACAAACTAACTGTGAACTCTAGGTAGCGTACCAGTACCTGGGAATTGCAGCTAGCTGGATGATTATCAGCCTTAAAGTTAAAGTACTTCAGGTACTATGCTTTTGAAACTAGAGATGTGATACCAGATTATGTAAACCCCAATTTTAGTAAATGAAGCCTGGTACAGCACTTTTGATCTGACTACTACAGAGTTCCCATCTAAAGTCCTAGCACTAAGCACCAGAAGTATCACTTTCTTTCTCTTTATTTTGCATGTATTTATCTCATCTTACTTTGGCATCTGAAATAATCTCCACAGTTTATTTCAGGCTGAACTAACTTGCCTTCTGCTTGCAGACATGCTTCCAGTTCTGCCAGCAGAACTGGAACCTCACACAAATAACTCAGTTATAGCTATTTTAATTTAATACACATAGATTAGGGGCAAATTAATCTTATCCAAACATTTCTAGCCAGGTACACAGCAGTGATACACTCTTATGATGACAAAAGTATGAGCATTCATGGTGCACTTTGTCACAACTAGCATAAGAAATTTGCACTAGACTCTAGATGCTAAAACCGAGACTCCTTTCATTGCTGATGAGGGGAAGTAAACACTATGTAGGTGTAATTTATCTGATGCATTTTAGATATTTACATTAGAATGAGACAAACTGTTTCCCAGAAGTGCTAATTTCTGTTTACTGATTACAAAAAGGTATCAGAGGTAGACATCCAATGCAACTGATTCAAAAGAAAACATTGCAACCCCATTACACGCAGAATAAGTAAAAAAATGCAACTCATTGTCAATCCTAACACCTGGGCATCTAAGAGATTTAGATACTCTGACAGAGATTATATACATTGAGAGGCGTTGAATCTTGCTGAGTAATTGCTTGACGTATGTATTTTGCCTGTTTGTTATTCTATATATTAGACATCCTTGCTGTCCCTTCCACCACTTTTCCAGATGCTGCTGCAACATAATTTGTGCAAGAGAAAACATTTCCTGCTTAGTCCCCTCTTCTTATCCTAATAAGACCTGGCATTCCACCAGGTTTTCCCAGGGCAGATATCCAATGTTTTCACTGAGCAGTCTGCTATGACTCCAGGCTATCCTTCATAAGAGGCAGTGGCCAGTTTGGACCCCATCATTCTGTGGTCTCCTGGGGACATTTTCCCCACTGCTCTGCCTTTATCAACTTTGAACTACATCTGCCATTTTATTCCCTGCAGTACAGTAGAGAGCCTTCTTCAGCAAGCTCTCACTTTTACTGACTAGCTAATTATATCTACAATTTAACATTTTTGTCTAAACTCTACTTTGATAATTGTAAACAGATTTTTGCCAAAATCAAAATGAAGAAACAAAGAAATCTGACTGAACTAAATTATCTTCTGAATTCAGAGGGTTCTGCTTAGATTTCCCTAGATTTAGACCTAGAGCAGACTACTGTGGTCCTGAGGATAAAGGTCCTGGCAGGGATCAGTTCAAAAACTGAGACATGTCACAGTGCTAGGCTGACAATTATGCCTCTGATAGAGGCTCTTCTGGCTGCCACGTAACCCCAGATACCTTCCAGAAACCATGGGCCAGGT